AAAAGTAGTAAAGAAGAAGGCAAAAAGATGCTGAAAAGGAAGCTGAAGTTACAGCTGATAAGGTGAAGGAAGATGGCGTTCCAGAAGTGGAACAAAAAGCAAAAGAACTTGCAGAGGAAGTGAGCGAAGTTACACCTTCAGTCAAAGACGGCGTTGCGCTGCAGCAGGAGCCTCTGCCGGACAAGGACAAGGACAAAGACGAAAAGGTGCCGGAAGACAAGAAAGAAGTCAAAAAGAAGCCTAAGAAACCGGAAGAGAAGAAAGAAGAAAAGAAGGAAGTCATAGAACCCGAGGAAAAGAAAGAGGACAAAAAGGAAGTCAAAGAACTCGATGACAAGAAGGAAGACAAGAAGGAGGTCGAAGAACCCGAGGACAAGAAGAAAGACAAAAAGGAAGTTAAAGAGCCCGATGACAAGAAGGAAGAAAAGAAGGAAGTTAAAGAACCTGATGAAAAGAAAGAGGACAAGAAGAAGGTCGCCGTGCCGGAATTTGAAGTGACCCCAAAAGTTGATACTGTGGAATTGGAATACGGAAAGAGTGGTGAGCTCAGGGTAAAATCATCACATCCAGCACAGTTCCAGTGGACGAAACATGGCCAATCCTTACCCAGCGACTATTCTATCAGTGGCGATAAGACCTCCAGTATTGTAAAAATCCCGCTGGCAAATCAAGAAAGCGCTGGAGAATATATCTGTACGGCCGCTGGTCCTGAAGGGAAGACCGTAACAGCATGTATCACGGTTATAGTTAAAGGTGAGCCTTCGACACGACTTGGTAATATGTGATCTTCCTTGCAAAAAACTTTTCAGGGAAACCTATCGTTGAGCCAGAAACGAGCACAGTGGCCGTCAAAATTGGCGAAAGCGCTAAACTCTACGCTGGGATTCAAAGCGCCACGACAGTCAAATGCGAATGGAAGAAGGATGGGAAACCCATAAAGGTATTTCATGATTCTAAATAGGCCATAGATCTCTTCGAAAAGACCTTAAAATAACTTCAAGACGCTTCATATACCACACAGGGCGACATTGTGGGATCCCTGACATACTCCATTGCTGTTGGGTTGTTTTGCATGTTGCGCAGCGTTTACAGTCGGCGACCGTTTGCTGTCCGCGCAACCGGCAACCAGCATTAGATAGGTATTGATTCGCAGTTGGCGGAAACGGCGATTGCGGACTCTGCACACTCGCTCGTACAGCGTATCAGCAAAAAATCATAAAATAAATCCAAAATTCAAGTAAGAACGATAGAAAGATAGGCGGAGTTGGAGTTCAAAGGGAGGGCGAGAGCGCGTCGGCTGCGCCATCCTTCCGCTCTTTGCGCCCTCTTGCTCAGACAGTGGTAACTTCACAAATGCCAGCTTTTCACGTACGTCAAGTAACTCGCCTTACGTGTCCACCGCGTGAATTGGTCACATTCTCCCTGATTCACAGACCTTTTTCGGCAGTTTGGCTTCATTTTGGCGCGATTCAATGACGCGCGATTCAATGACGTCAAAGACTTGTACAATATTAGTCGCCAGGCTGGCGCTAGGTGATACTTGAGCCAAAAATGGGTGTCGTATTCGTGATCAGGGACTGGATATCCTTAGCAAATTTGAGCTAAATTTTTTTACCTTCTTGTTTCCAGTTCCCTGGGGCGCTGTAGTGTGCTGGAGTTGTAGGGTTCAGTATAGTACCGTATACCACACTTATTATTGTATCAAAGACAAACTTGATAACATACTTATGTCGAGAGATTAGAGATTGAAGGAGATGGAACAAAAAGCGACAACAAACGCGCCGCATACACGCGCGTTGCGGTCATATCGAATCGCTTTGCGCGAGTGCTAACTATGAACGCTGCTTGAAAGATTTGTTTTCAATGGTTTCGCTTAAATGCCTACAGTGTTCATCACCTCTAAATGAACACCTCAGCTTTGCAATGTGTTTACGTTCGAATTCCTTACTTTGTTGCTATAGCTTGCCAAACTTATCCGCCGCACGAACAGTGCTCTAACCTCGGATTGGCTTTTCTAAACTAATCTCTTTAGTTTCCTTTTTCTTAGCAGTTATGCACATTCTAAACTAAAGATTTCAGTTGGATGTTACACAGGCTCCCTCGCCTAACGCTGACAGCTGAAACTAACACTCGGACGTGCCGCTGTCATTTTCTTTCGGCTTTTTCTTCTGTGTGACTTCTTCGCTTGTTTTCGCTTTTGTTTATTTGTGTGTTAGATTTTCGGATTTTTTTTTGTTGAATTTTGGTTAGTGTGCTCCTTCCGTGTGTTGACTTATTTTCCCTATGTTTTGTTCCTTGTAATATATTGCTATGTTGAATAGCACACACTCGCTCCATTTGTTTCATGTTGGCGTGAAATTGTGGGCCAAACTCTTCCCGAAGCTTTCAAGAGAGATTTCACCTCGAGCCACCTCTGTTAGTGGAACTCCAAACCCTGGCCCATTTCTCAGAGTCGGGACCATTCTTTTTGGGGAGTTTCTTGACTATTAAAACATGCCCCTTCCAACTTTCCTACCTCACTGGTGCCTTTCAAAATGTTGTAAATAGTAAAAAGATGTATATAGTAAAACAAATAAAGCGAATACCGTATGTTACGTTGCCTACATCATAAAGTATACATAGTAAGTTCCTGGACGTGAATAAGACCTAAGAAAGGAATGGTAGAAACGAAATCTTCATGAAACCGAGAAGAAACTAAGGAAAGATTCAGAAGCATTCAAATAGATACGTGACACCCACAGACTGCATACCTTTCGACGGGTCAGGTCACCGCTGTGACCTCTACCACAATCCTTTCAGTGCTGAAGAACTCTGAATGAGTATGTTCCCCGAGTGATTGCCCCAGCTGTGATCAGTCGGGGGCAGTCACTCGCGGAAC